CTCTCTCTCTCTCTCTCTCTCTCTCTCTCTCTCTCTCTCTCTCTCTCCCTCCCTCTTCCCTGTCACTCTGTAAATAATCTTCAGACTTGGGGGAGTCAGACTCCAAGTTTGGCAATCTTATAAGTGAGCACTAAAGAAGGAGAAAGAGGAAAGAAATTCCTATAGAAAGACACACTAAGAGAGGTTCAGAGACAGAAAGAGAAACAGGGGGAGAATGAAATAGAATGTTAAAAGAAAACAACAATTTTGGACTATGTTGTCTAGGAGAGAGAGGAAGAAGGGGTATATAGGTGAGTCAATGAGAATGGACTTTGGTCCATTGAAGGGATCCGTGATGAGGGAAGGGGTCAGCATAGGGGAAGGCTAATGAGGACAAAGGATAAGTGGGGGAAGATCACTGAAGAAGAGTGATGAGAGAGGATCAGTGAGGAAGAAAGGTTATTCAGGAAGAGTCAGTAACAGGAAGGGTCAATGAGAAGTGAAAGCCAGTGAAGGGGGAGGCAAGGGTTATGAAGGGAGTTAGTAAAGGAGTGTCAGTGAGGCCAGTATCAGTTGGGGGAAGGTTAATGAGGGAGGGTACCTAGGGCTCAGTTCTAAGGTACTGACTATGCCCCCAGGGGTGGGGAACCTTCGGCCTCACGGCCACACGTGGCCCTCTAGGTGGGCCCTTTTGACTGAATCCAAACTTCACAGCACTTGAGGACCTAGAGGGCCACGTGTGGCCTCGAGCCCAAAGGTTCCCCACCCCTGCCCCAGACCCTCAGATGCTTGCCTCCTCTCCACACACTATCTATCCCTTTTCTCCTACTCAATGGAGTCAGGACTCCTGGATTTTCATTCCCCCAATCTGAGACTAGTTACACGCCCTTCGTTTGTTCCTCAGTTTCCCTATCTGGAAGTGGTATATAAATCTTTCCCTAATCTTTTTCCCTCCATTTGCCCCATCAACACCCGAGCCTAGCGTAACCTTAAGGGATCAGAAAGAAGTAACCTCTGAGGGAACTGTATTTATCTCGGCTGTCCCTCCCTTCAACATCACATCAACTCTACTCAGTGAATGCTTTGAGATCCCTAATCAAGGACACCAACGGCAAACCTCTAACTTTTTGGAAGGTCAAAGAAGTATCTGACATCTGGGTTCTCTCCCTTCATCTCCCTTTGACATTCAGGTTATAGAGTTGGGAGTGGGCCTTTGACATGGGCTAGCCATAGGACTTTGGGAACAGAAAGGGCTGAGAACATGGTTTACAACCCTACAATGACAGCTCAGCCAGAGACTTGGGGACCTTACAATAACATCTGCTTGCAATGAGTCCCTTTAAAAAAATCTATTTTTTATTCTATTAAGGAAATAAACTTTAAACGCAGACCTAGCCCTCCTAAATTGAGGAGTGGTAATCTGTCTTTTCTGGAGGGATTGTCAAGGGATTCCAACATCCTCACCCCCACCTCAAACCCAGTCCTGCTAGAATTGGTAGCTGTCCTAATCTCTTCCTCAAGCACCGCTTGCAGGTTGTATCTGTAATATCCCCAATTTTTTTCTTCTTCAAGGTTATCTCTGTTGTTCCTTCTGTAAAAATGTTACAGGTAGTGGAGGAAGAGAGCAAGTGGACACAGTGCACTGTGTCCCCTAGGGATGAACCCTTCTGCCCAAATGGCCCAAACTTCACTACTGGGCAGGTCCAGAGAATGACAAGGCTGGGGAAGGAGACATTGTCTGTCAAGGCCCAGACTGGGGAAGGGTCCCAGCAGAAGGAAAATTTCAGGTGGTTGGTGAAGATTTGAAAATTTGAAGGCTTTATTAGTTTGGAACATTCTAGGCTGGCGGAGGGCTAGTGGGCCATGAGAGGCTTTAGTAAGAACCCATTTAAAAGATTTAGCAAGAGGGTGGAAAGTTCAGGATGGAAAGCTGGGGTCTGGCAGATCAGATTGGGGAAAATGATCAAGGAGAGACCTAAGGATAATGCAGAAGAATCCATGTATTTCTCAGGCTTCCCACTTCTCAGGCTCTTCTGCACTGATCAGGGAGCAGCTCCAAGGCTGAGCTGGGCTGGGTGCCAGGACTCCCAGTTTCTCTCCACCTCCGCCTTGGCTGAGCCCCTTCCCCTCTACAGGTCTCAGATCCCACCTGTGCCACAGGGAGAAGACTCGCCCCGATGATGCTTTGAGATCCAAAGCTGCCTGGGGTGGGGCTGGGCCAGGGGGCAGTGGGAGGGGGGGAGCAACTTCTGTAATGATTATAATTATCACACAGTGGATCCTATCTCACTGTGGAGCTTCCTTTCTTCCCACGGATACTTCCCTCCCCCTTCCTAAAGCATCACAGGTAAACTGAGGCATTGGGGAAAAGTGGATGGTCAGATAAACAAGCAAAAGCCCTGATCTCCATCTCCTGCCATTTTCTCCCCTTCCCCCATAGAAGCCCCAGGCAGGCAGTCAACTAGCATTTCTTAAGTACCTACTATATGCTAGGCACTGTGCCAAGGAGAAACTCGACTTCCTCTCTACCCCTCAGTATCTCTCTGGATCACCCAGAAAAGCCATAACAGCTCAATGCCCCTCTTATTTCAGCTCCTTAAGGGAAGGGCTGGGTAGTCACTGTGAATTTGGGACACCTGTGTATGTGTATGTGTGGTGGTTGTGGGTGGGGAAGGCCATCCCTAATATGTGCAGGATCCAGGAAAAATGTCACTGTCATCCACCTTTTAAGCAAGTGACATCTGCTTATAGTGAACATCAGGGGTAGCTTTTTTGGGGGGGTGGAATCAGGCAGTTGGGGTTAAGTGACTTACCCAGGGTCACATAGCTAGTAAGTGTCAAGTGTCTGAGGTGGGATTTGAACTCAGGTCCTCCTGACTCCAGGGCCAGTGCTCTATCCACTTTGCCACATAGCTGTCCCAAGAGGTAGCTTTGAAGGGGGAAAGGAGGAGAGGGGATGCTGTCCAGGAGGGTAGAAGAAAAAGGGGGATCCTGTTGCTAGGCATCCAGCTGCTGTCTTTTGGGAGCATCGTAGGGAAGGTGCAATTTTTTTTACGTGTATGTGAATAAGCCTAAATTATTTTTCACACCAGCTTGCAGGAGCAATTCTCCCTCTCATTTCTCCCCTTCCCCCTCAAATCTCCCTGACAGTTTCTCTTTCATCATAGACTCCCCCCACCTCTCTTTTTTCTCTCCTCATCCCTCTCTTTGCACCCATTTCAGCCAAAGCCTGCCTTCATGCAGTGGAAAGATCAGATTTATGGTCAGAAGACCTGGGTTTAAATCCTTACTCTGCTACCTGGTAGCTGTGTGACACTGGACAAGTTGCTTGCCCTTTCTCTGCCTCAGTTTCCCCTATAAAATGAGGACATTAGACTAAGTAACATCTAAGGTTCTTTCAAGC